CGTTGGTGCGGACTGCTTGTGTGGCATCGCGCTTCGTTCGTACAATTTATGCTCGTACGCTATTGCTTTCAATCATTTTTCTTTCGTCTTGTTGCATGCAGTGAATATCTGTTTTATAGGGTCAATTCATGTCAGCGTAAATGTGTCCAAGTGACGTACGGAGAAGCAGAAAAAAAATTAATTAAAAAATTGTTACCTAATTGTGCAAAGACCACCAGCAACATAACCAAAGACAGTGCAAGATACTATAAACCAACTAATTTCCTTTTCGCAACGGCAGCCACTAAATTACTTCTGACGAATAATTTTATATTAAGGCGTGGACGTTGTACATATAGTTATTAAAATACGAAAGTCACTGGAAACATGGGGATCGTTTTTCTTTTAAATCCACTTTTCCAATGAGATTGCGCCGAATAAAAACAAGTGCACTTACGACACAAAATCACTGTAGAAAGTTGAAGTATAATCATTTCTGCTTCGGTTTACGCAGAAAAACTAATGGTAAAATATCTGTAGGACTTGTATTTTTTCTACTAATTAATTAAAGAATCAAATTCTTTTCGAAATCTTTGATATAATTGAAAGCCAAAACTGAAATAAAAGATAATGATTCAAAACATTTATTTATTTTGTTCAGTTTGATTACCTGTGAATTTGATAATCATCAAACACTCTTTCATCAAAAGTTGAAAAAAAGAGCAAAGTTTATCCAAAAAGTCACGGAAAAACTGTATAATATTATATTCTGAATGGTCATTGGTCTTTGGCATAGGTTAAATCTATGTTATACCATCCAACCTCGTTAGGTTTTTTTAATGGCTACTGTGGAGCGAAACTTCACTAATGGCAAACTTGTGTACAACATATTTTTTTTTATCTAAATGTAGAATTTTATGTTTTCTATAGTCATTTTATCAAATCTTTTGTTTCTGCTCGAAGCTTAAACAAGAAAGTGTTTCACATGAAACTAGGGAATTTTGGAGCAAACGATTATTAGCATTACTCAACATGATTCAACCAAAAAAAAAAAAAAAAAAAAAAAAAAAAACAATTAACGTTTGGTAACGAAGACCTACACAAATAATAATAAAAATCGCCATAAACGTATCTCTATCTAATGAAAGGTCAAGAGCATTAAAAGTACCCATAGCGAGATCCGTAGGGTATCTGTTGCGATTTGATTCAAAGATGCGAAAATCGACAAATTACATGATCATATAAGTTCTACATTCTAACTTGCCCGTTGGCATTCACTGAAGTTGAAAATGATTTTAACTTTTATACTTGAAATATTCAATTATCGTCGATTCTCTGCAGAAAATTCTTGTAATTTATCTAAAAGTGCTTGCATGAAAGAGAAGAATAAATACAAATAAAATGTATTTCGTCGATTGGTTCATTAAGCATCAATCAAAGGGATTTTGCGAAGCGTGTTACGTTTCAACGGCTTTGCGTATTGGTAACGTCATTGCTGTTAATCTGTTGACACCAAAAGTGTAAAAGTTAACACTATATCGAATGGCAAAACGGACAAAGAATGGAAGAATGTCATCTTTATTGTCGGTCGTGCAACGGTAAAAATGCATTTCTTTTCATTTCCTGATAAAATGTCGCTTATCTGAGGGCATAATTGCGTAATTGTCGTGACGGCATTCTGAAAAACTTATCGGTTGGCCTTAAGTAAGAGCGTCGTTTCAATGGATTTCCGCTTATAAATCAAATACTGCTGCGATCGAATATCAACACAAGATTATATGCAAATCATAAATTTCTCCGAATAAAATATTCATATGCGTAGCACATTTTTTTCTACCAAGAGATTGTATCAATATGCACTTAGGTTGAACTGAATGTTACATTGAAGAAGAATTATTGCCCGTGTGTATAATGTCAACACAAGAAAAAGTGTTCTACTATTCTATACTATGATTGTTATTAATTATCATGATTTATAATATTTATGCCATGTATCGAATCTGAAGAATTCTAGCGAACAAAGTGTATACATTGACTGGTGGCAAATGGAATTCCATACATTTTTGCATGAAAAAAAAACTGATTTGGATTTCTTGGCTTTTGAATCTGTTCATTATTCAGTGCATCTAAAGCATCTAAATTAATGGTCACACAGCATGCCTAATTAATTTCTCAATTTCTCCACATCTCGAGCAATAAAATTTCTATTCAAATAAAATAAAATTCAATTTGTTGATGTCCACTCGAATTTCACTCAAATCCCATTCAAGCGAAAGAAAAAAATAATCAAAATTCAGATTTAACAATGACCACAAATGTCTTTCAACATCTTGTGAGTCGTTCAAATCTCACCATGTGATCTAATTACATGAATGCATTTGAATTAATTCCATCATAAAAACCGGTGACATTGATAAAGTTGTTGCAAGGCATATTCACAGGAACGTTCATCGGTTCAAACAGAGCCTGAGCTGATGAAAACAGATTCTCTTTTGACCGATTGTCCAACAATTTATTTCAATCAATGGTCGAATGAATGAGAAGAAAAAGTAAAGGAAAACATTTTCAATGTTTTGATTTCCATTGTGATTACGATTAAATAAACGATGCTGTAGGTATAGTGGCATCAAATGGGATGCCCATAGTAACGAAAAATGATTGTCTGGCGCACACAATAATGACGAATGTAATGTGACAAATAACAAATTCAACGGAATCAAAGATAATTTGTTTCTAAACGATCATACGAAATACTATCCAAATTATGCGACGCTCTATCGAATGCGAGATAATTTTATTTTTGATCGATTCCCTTTTTTGTGTGTTACAAAAAATAAAATACAGAACTTTAAACGTAAAGAATAACGTATTCGATTCTAATTACGATCGTTGCGTGTTTTCACATAAAACAATTTTTGATTGCGTCGAAGATCTTAAAATAATTACCATGTGATGTTCCAGTGTCTTCCGTGTGACCAATTTAAAACATCAACTCAAACAGAGAGTCGTTCTTTTCTTTTATTATGATAATAGAATTGAAATAGCTTGCGACTTCTGAATTGTTGTCTACATTTTTCATTCATTAAAATACTTCAACAAAATCTATGGACCGGTCGCTCAATAAATTTTCTTTAAATGACGAATACTTTTGTTGGTTCAACGCGCGTAGATTTGTTTACTATTGCGTGCTAATTAAAAGCAACAATTAATTAACTTTTTCTTTTCCATGATGGAAAAAAGGAGAGAAAAAAACGATTACTCGATGCAAACACGACAACATTTAATATTGAAAAGAGCACTCCACCAACTGCTATTTGTTTGAACAATTTACACTCGCAGGTCATGTATTCCGGCAATTACATGTTATGCCTACGTTTTTATATACGATCTAGCGATTAGATAACAAACGATGATGCTTTGTATTCGCACACGAAATATAGTCATTTACGTTATTTTGCTTCAAACATGCACTTAAATGTCGTCCAAAAATAAGTCTGTGGTTGAGTGAAAGTGGTTGGTATTTTAAAAATTGATATCGATCACTTACGTATCTCGTTTCTTTTGGAGTTTGCGATTGCAACACATCTACAACACAAAAGATCGAAGAAATAAAAAGTTAAATCGCCGACATATCGTTAAAAAACATTAAATCTCATCAAATTAGCGCAAATTTAGCGAAACCAAAATGAAAAGTTGCGTGCCATTTGAGAAAGTGAATTTAAATTTAAAATCAAATTATATTCACTGAGAAGAGACATTCAAAGTATAATGAAAATGTTTTCTCGACGAACCGGCATAAATAATCTAAATGTAAATGACGAACGAAATAAATATTATTCTCAACATTATAATTTATAAATAGTGATTCCCACAGGTGCAAAGATGCATTTGTTGGCTGAAATGGCATGACAATGATGCATTCATTTTAGGATACTGTCTATTTAAAAAACTGACCATCGATTTGACTGCCGTCCGAACGCATCTTTCTCACAGGAAAATTCAAACGATATTATAATAACACACGATTTACATATGCAAAATACCCAGTTTTACTCTTCTTGAGATCGTTTTCAAACATTGCAAAAAAAGCGACTAACACTGATTATTGTGTGCCAGAGAAATGGAAGAATAGGCAAATTATCTATCTATTGTCTTTTTTTTCGGTTTTACATTATGTTGTTAAACAGTAGTAAAATCGGTGTGTACGTTGCTATTATATGATTGCATTGTAAAGTCATTCGTCTCGGATTTGCTTTTCTTTCCTCTCTGTATACATATGTCAATTTTAATTATATTTTACTTGGTTTCCGTTCGACGGACAGCAAAAAAGGGTGAAAAGTGTTACTATTAACCACGAGTGCGCGTGCCAAGTGATGCAAAAACTTAGCAACAAAAACTCGATCACTGCAATTACTACATTGACTTGCTACAATTCGCGATTGCTACACACGAACAGAAATCAATGGGCTTCTAAGAAACGGTGGCCATTCAATAGGAAAGTTAAAATTTAAATTTTATTTTCACACATAATAGCTAGCATATGTTGAAATGGCCGTCACATATTATTCAAAAACTCAAATCTGAAATATGTAAAAGAGTCATATTTTCTACGCTTTCGTCTCGCTAATTAATCAATTCTTTTTATAATAGGAATATTTCATTCAAAATGTTATGCATAAAAGTGACGGACATCACTGTTGATGACTGTTGATGACGCTTGATAAGATAGATTTTTATGATTGTGAAAATCCCCCTCTTCAATATGAGGAAAACAAAATTTTGTGCCAATTAAATGCTTTTTTTCATATCGAGAATATTTATAATATCCATAGAAATGAGAACATTTGTATGCAAATGAATCGAGTTGATTCTATCATGGGATAGAATGAAAAATACGAAAGCATACATAACGATTAATTTTAAATTCTCATCTCTGATAAAAGGGTTGATAAAGAATCCAAGAAGTCCTTTGTGAATTGAAATATTGCCAGTAAACATCATTAAAATACTAGAATACAATGTTGTTTTTATTGCTTTTTATTGTATACAATCTTCAAGAAACAACATAGTATCGATTGGCTCTTTTTCAAATAATGTTTATTCTGAATATTCATAGTTTCATTGGTTGGAAGTTGTAATTTATAAAAGAAAAGTAAAGCCTTTTTGTGAAACTATTCAATTTGGACACTCGATTGGGAAAAGTGTATCCCAAACGCTATATCTATCAGCAAAGAGTTGTTTGTTCATGGTTGGTGTTTCATTAATTTCCAAATATTGACCTTCTTGAGTAGTTGATGGTAACCATTCTACAGAAGATTTGAATGCGCCTACATTTGGATTGCTAAAATGACAAATTATTTACATTATTTAATTTGTTTAAAGGAAAATCATTTGTATATGCCTTTACCCAGTGCTAGCAAAATTCGTCCACCATCCAGTCATATTTTCGACAATAGGATTTTCTGGGTCTGTTTTGTTAAACATTGGTGTCATGACGGGAACACGTAAAAGATAAAGTAAATCATCATGATGAACAGCGCCATAAGGCTTATCAGCTGGATAGTATGTGTGACTGTAACGACCAGTGTAGTTGAACTCATATCGATACACTGTTGTATGCACATTGACTAGTTTCATGAAGCGATGCATTCCAAAACCAATAATTCCATCTGCTGATAACTATATAAAATGTCATGAATGTATAATCTATTCCTTTTAGGACATTGTAGTTTACCTTTCTTAGTCCATCAAATGTTAGCCAATCTGATGAATTGGAATTACCAAAATAGTACGACTTTAGATTGGATGAAATTCGTTCGGAATTTGTCGAATCACGTTCGTACAGAAAACATATTGGTGATAATTTCGCGAAATTTGTACTCATTTGTTGGCGATAACTATCGTTTTTGAGTATGTCTAACGGAGAAGGAAAATAATGTTATTTCATCACATTTAAATATTAAATGAGAAGGAAAAGAAACCGTACCGATAGCTGGAAAAAGAAATTCGTGCTCCGTAACTCCGGCTAAAACTTCAATTTTAGGGAATTTCCCACTTTGAATCAAACATGTGGGGTCTTCAGTCAAAAATCTGTCTTGTCCAAAATCACGCTCAACAACGGGCTTAAACAGAATAATCGGATTGGATACAGCAAATTCAAACATGTCACGAACTGTTTTGGAGAAATCTTCCTTGGTGGCCTAGCAAAGTGATTCTTTTAAATTTAGCATTTTTTGATTACATTTTTTAACTAACTTTTCTCAAACATTCCATAATACTGTCGATTGATTCGTCTGAACAGTTCAATAAACGAGCTTGTTTTTTCGCTAAATCCAATTGATCAGATGGAATCGACCACTGCGCACTTGCTGATCCACTCATTACAATGACTCTATGGAAAAGACCCTGAGACATTGGCGATACCATATGTAATGAATTACTAATAGCTCCAGCACTGTATCCCATAATCGTAACTGAATTAGGATTTCCTCCAAATTGTTCAATATTTTCTTGAACCCATCGCATTGCGACAACTTGATCTTTTAGACCATTGTTGCCGGGAGCTTCTTTTGTACCTGTACTGAGAAATCCCAATATTCCCAAACGATAATTGGCTGTAACAAACACGATGTCATGATCCATCAAATACTCCGGTCCAGCCACAAATTTACTTTGACTAGATAACTCGTAAAATCCACCAGGATGAAAATAAATTATTACGGCACGATTTCGGTCCGGAGATTTGTTTATTGTGTAAACGTTAAGGCGGAGGCAATCTTCTGTGATGATGGAAGGATCTTGTGTCTCTTGTACGCATATTGGCCCATCTTCTGTAGCATCGAACGTTTCATTCCATGTTTTCACAGGAATGGGCGGCTAAAATTGAATAAATATTAAATAAAAATAAATTGAATAGTACTCATATATTTTATATGATTGTATTTCGCATTATTTATTTGTTGGATAATTTGAATAATTACCTGAAATCTTAAAACTCCTACTGGTGCTTCGGCATATCTTATTCCGCGAAAAGAAAGAAATTTGTTGCCCAAACGAGATTCAAGATAACGTCCACGTATCGGTCCCAATTTTGTATTAACAACAGGAAATTCTTCTTCTGTCGATACACAAAATGCACACAAGACAAAAATAAAACTTGACACTATCGACAGCATTGTTTCGTATAAATTCACAAAACAAATCCCCCCTAAAATGAGATGCTTTGCATATGCATCTGAGAGAACTGAACACTTTATTTGACGGCAACTCTTTTATATGCCGAATAATACACACATTAACAATTAAAAAGGTATATTCATTTTTTGTGACGCACTTGATCAGTAAATATTTGAATATCTTTTGTGTTCATACGATAACAAAACTATAAATTTTATAATTTTTGTTTGAAGAATACTACAGAGCCTTTTCGTACAACAAATCTTTATATTGTATTGTTATCATTTATGAATTCTTATCATTAAGTAAAGTTACTGCATATTAAATGATTAAATTTTAAAAAGATTTTTTTTTTTTGAGTTCATTTGGATTTTACAAGCAAATATTCCTTTAGCAAAGAAAATCACAAAAGTCGTGACACAACTTTACAACTTCTCATAAAAACAAATGTTTTAGTTTTCAACTGTTCACGACACTGTTTTTTTTAAATAAAATTAACACTACCTTGCGTAAGGATAAAAAAATCAAATAAATTACCACTACTAATCATCACATTTGAAGTGTTAATTTAGTGATTGAATGCAATAATTGTTCCGCCCTTGCGACAAATTATTTCCTGAAAGATCAACTTGTTTAAATTTCTTTAAATTGTGTATTCCATGGGAACAAAAGAAATACACACAATTTTTTTGGGATTAGCCACTTGCCTTTTTGGGCTGTCAAAAAGTGAACATAGTCCAATAAACAACAAATTAACAAAAGTGGCTTACATCGGTCTGTGTGCCTCATTTAACTTTTTGATCATCACAATTTTATTCCCAAATTTATTCAGGCGTACCTTTATGCTCCGGTAGTCATGAACGCAGTGTGGTTAAGGTGATAGTATTGGTTCATAATAATTTATGCCTAAATAAATAAATCTGAATTTTTGATTGTGACAATAGATTTTTCTTTAATAGTTCGATGAATCGGTGCATTCAAAGCAAATTGCAGGTCAAACATAAACAATTCAAGTGGCAATCTAATTTGCATAACTAATGATTTCGAAGCCTTCTTTCATGAGTACAATAAACAAAACAAAGTCAGAAGAATATATGCGTCGTGTACTATTTATAATAATGTTAAAAGAATACATCGCGCGATCCCTTCATGGCTTTTAGCCTTCGAAGGCGTCCCAGAGAATTCAAGTGGAAAAAAATTGAATTGAATATATTTAAAAAAAAAAACATCGTCCATACATATTATGCATGGCATCGTCATGGGAATTAGCCACTTGATTTGTAGAAGTGTTCACCATGTGATACTCTGTTTTTATTTTGGAGGGCTTCTTCTTTCGTCAGACATGCACAAGTACAAATTTTTCTCTTCGTATCTCTTGCTCTCTCTCTCTCTCTCTCTCTCTCTCTCTCTATCCCTCTGTCTCTGTTTATTTAGTTTCTTCATTTCTTTTTCTTCCAATCGCGTATGAAATAAATGTAAAGAGCTCGTTTTGTTCGAAGCTTGTTATAATTTCTGACATGTTTCAAACAATAGGTTTTTTAACCTTTCGCATTTATCATCGTCAATATATAATAGGCTATAACTATATATTGCTCACAATTTCGATGGTGAGCCACGATGTTTAACTTAATGCGTTTCAAACATGCTTGACCATAATTCCCATGGTGCTCAATTTCGTTTCAGACAATTTACCTAGATTAAATCATCTTCAAACACTTATTTTGCGCGTTTTTTTACTCATGTTTTCTAATCGAACAATGTTTTTTTTTTCGTGGCGAATTTTCATCGCAAAACTCATTCCCAAAATTTCAAAGTACACATTCATGCTGAAAATTCACCGCAAAGAATAATTTTCGAACTAAATGTCGAACTCATTAGAGCGTAAAAGCTGATATGTTCGAAAGTTCTCCAATGCTCGAGTATCACTATAACGAATCCTTTATCCGCTCAAGAGAATCAAATGATGGATATTTTTCTTGATAATTCACGGCATTTAGCACTTCAAAAACCACTTTGGCGCAACAATGCTACTTGTCAGAAGAGAAAAAATGGCCATTTATTTATCAGTATGAAGCAAGAAATGTACTCAACTTTAAATGCATTCACAATGAATGCTGTTTACATAAATTCCATAAGTCATTCGGACTGATGCCATTTTTCTTCTCACTCCATGTAGTTTGAATTTGGTTTAATTCGATGTCAGGAATTATGTATGATTTTAAGCTCACTGATAATTAAACTGTACGAACGCCAACCATAAATTCATTTGTTCGAAACGTTGAAGAACACATAGAGAGAGAAATGCGCAAAATAATAAAAAAAAGAAACGAAAGAAAAATTGAACGTGTAAAATCACATTTATTCAAGCATATGAAACTTTAACAAGAAGAAAAGTGGAAAAAACGAAAAGACAAACTCCAGACGAGGAACGAATCAAAATAAATAACAATAATCTTGATTACATGTTTTTTTCATATGGTCCGTGGTACGCGCGTGCTTAAGTTATTTTCGTTTCATTTGCTGTGCATTGAGTGGTCTAGTGCTTGAAAAGTGCCAAAGGTACGTCCGAACCAAATTGAACCAACTGCGCAAATTACCGCCGCAGCTCGACCATATTTCTTTGCCGATTCGTATTAAACTCACAAAATGTGTAGCATGGCACGAGACCATATGTTTCACCTTTTTTTTATATCATTTTTGTCGCTGTGCATGAGCCCAGGTAAGCTGTTCAGTTGCCGCCATCGAGAAGACAATGATAAGAGGAAAATGTAAACTTATATGCAACCGAGAATAAAATGTCACGTAAAATCAACAATCAGCATTGTTTCAAACGAAGAAACTGTTACCTGGGGAGCTCACAAAATACAAACATTGTTTAGTTTGTCTTGTTGCTCGAATGCCACGGATCACTTCATTGTGCTGCTTTTTTTTGCTGCTCTCCTTGCAATCATGAATTGAACATAACATTGATCAACGACTCACTGTGTTTACTTGCTGGCGCGCGCGCTTACAAATTTTTATCTATAATTTTCTATTGGATCTTGCACATTTACCATAGACATTCGATATTTCGAAGCGTTTAATATATAGAAAAACCAGAGAGTAACAAAGCGAAACGCGGACGTGATTGTATATTAGAACACCTCACAGTCAATGTAACTGCATAATTTCTGTGATAAATAACATATAACATATAATAAACGAGAGCACGGAGCAAAACCAATCAAATTGAATGGGCCAGAAATGGTTGTACGATCGAATCGAGTGCAAACTGTTTACATGCACTTTTTCAAGATAATTATTGATCTGAAATGCATGTAGCTGGAATTTCGAAAAGGAACAGCATGAAGCGATAACGAATGCAAAACAAGCCAGTAGTCGATGGACAGTAGAAGCAAGGGATCAACAAAAAAACCGAATTTTATGCCATTGAGCATAGAAATGTAGAAACTGGAAGATTTTTTTCTGCATGAAGCGTGATAAATAACGTTCGTAATGTGTTTATAAAATCACGAAAATAATGTTTTGTTCCGAATGAAAATAGTAATTTTCACCTCTTTTGTGTTTGCCCAAAAATTGTGATTTTGCTTGATTTGGCTATCTGATACAATTTATAATCTTGCAAAATGTCAAAAAAGTAATGAATTTGAAACTTCTGACAACGCAAATAAATCAAAAACCGTACGGAATGATTTTTTGTGCATTTGAGTGGTACAAAAACCAACAATTTATTTTATTTTACGAAATGATTCCATGAAATGCCAATTATAAGTGAATAAAGAAACAGCTTTCCTTTCAAGCGTCGATTTGTCGCCGTAGCGGCTTATGTGAGAATAAACAAAGAATACACTCTGATAGCGCATTGCAAATCATTGATTCGGAATGGGATTTTTCGAAGAAATAAAATGGCATTCCACCTCATCGAAACATACGACGATGTATTTTATTTCGAACCTAGAAAAGCATCCAGCTAGAAAAGTTCATTCCACAATAATTGTCGTACGGTTAAAATATCATTTTACCTTTCATCAACTCGCTTGGTGGTGAATTTCTGATTAATTTCGAATGGCTGTGAAAAGATGCACGCGTATAATTATACAGCGCAGGGCAAAATTCCGCAAAAAATTGACTCAAACACAAAAAAACACACAACAACTATTTGTGCAATTTTTAATTTCAGTATTTAACATGTAGACTACACGTGATGGCTTTTGTTCTCCGCATCGTTGCATCGATTCATAATAATGCATTACAACACTGGTCTCTCTTCGGGTATCTTCTGATTCAATATGAAGTAAACATTGTATTTACAATCAAAGAAGATATGTTGATAGCCCTGTACATCACTGTTAATCTCAAATCCAGAGGCTACAAAAAAGAGTTGGAACCGGTTCTGTCGTTGCGCATTCGTTCTTTTTTTAATCTACGAGAGAAAGAGAGTTTGACGAGAAGCGCATCGGGCATCGAGTGTTCTGCGTCATTTTTTTTGATTAGATATTCTGTAGGGCTAGCTTCTTTCGTAGGCATTAGTATAACACATCACGTCGTGGGCATGTGCCTAAGTCACGGCATGCATAAGATGACCGCTAAAAGTAAGATTACTCGGTAAGATGACGTTCAAGAAGAAAAAATTATGATCGATTTGTGCATTCACAACTACTATACATACGTATTTTCAATTAAAACGAAAGGAGACGGGGAGAAAAGTAACAGCAGCAAAATACAAAACTCGCTCTTATGCACGTACGGTGTGTTAAACAGCGATGATGTTGCTTTTTTTATCAATTGTTCATCGTGTTACTTAAAATTCGTTTTCTTTTGCTGTCAATTTTCATATTTTTTTGTCTTTTTAAACGATCGGATTTTTTCGTCTCTGTCATTTCTCGCAGCAAATTGATGCCATCGCCATCATCGGCAACAAACAACTGGCCTGCTGATATGAAATTCAATATTTTTCCGCGCAAACCTACAGCATATATTTCATTTCGTTTTGAACACGCGCGTGTGCTGACCATCAACGATTTTTCTTCATCGACGAATGGTGCGATTATAA